TTTGCATAACAATGCATCTAATTTGCATAATTTTTATTTGCATAATAATCAGTTTGTCCCAACAAATATTGTCAATCTACAATTAATTAAAGACAAGATATTTTTATATCTGATAAATTTTATATCATTTTACTGCATTGTATTTTTTGTTTTTGTATCAAGTCAAATAAAGTTTGAAATGGAACATCATAAAAAGGAAAAACAAATTGAAAAACTTGTGTTATAGCCAGTTAGTAAAGTACTTGTCTTTACTGAGATCTTGGGACTATCATCTGCCGTCACCATTGGCTCTGGATCAAACACTGTTACCTTGTTTAGCTTTCGGTAGTCAATACATATACGATTCGATCCATCTTTTTTGCGTACTATCACGACAGGTGATGCATATGGGGATTCGGTTTCTCTTATAACTCCCATCTTCAACATACTTTGAATGTCCTCTTTCAAAGACTCTTGTACACTATATGGCACCGGGTAAGGCCTCGATCTTATAGGTTCATCGGTTCTCAGTTGAATACGATGCTGGATAAGGTTGGTAGTGCCAGGTAGGTCTGTAAATATGTGCTTATACTCGTGCACTAGACAGCGAACTGATTGCTCCTGATCATGAGTCAGGTTCCTGCCATATTTCACGTCAGCTACTGACTCCTTTGACATGCAAGAATTCAGCACCAACAAGTCATCATCCTGTACAGCGTCTTCATCTAAAGACTCTTCATACTCTATGACAGCTGCACTAGCAATGCCCAAGACAGGCAGATTGTCATCAGCTTCACTACTCTGCTCATTTCGTTGAATATACTTCTTCAGCAAGTTAGCATGATATGTTTTGTACTTTCCACGTACATTTACTCTATAGTCATTTACACCAATCACACTATCAATTTCATACGGCCCCTTCCACTGCATTAATAACTTGTTACTATCAGTTGGTAGTAGAATAAGAACCATTTGTCCAGGTTGAAACCTTCTGACTTTCACCTTCCTATCATAGTAGTGCTTGTACCGTTGCTGGGATTTCTGCATCTCTACCTGTGCAATTTTCAGTGTTTCGTCCAAGCGCTCTCTTAACTCAAACACATACTGATAACTGTTTCTAATTTCTGGTTCCTCAGTCTCTGTTGTCCAGAGTTGCTTCAAAATATGCATAGGACCTCTGATAATCCTCCCATACATCAGCTCAAAGGGAGAAAAACCTGTTGATTCTTGGGGCACTTCTCTATAGGCGAATAGCAATGCATTGATGTAGCAGTGCCACTGCTTTGGCTGCTCACTGCACAAACGCTTCAACATTGCTTTTAACATACCATTAAACTTTTCAACCAGCCCATTACACATTGGATGATAAGGGGTGGTTGACAGTTGTCTAATACTCAACAGACGAGAAACTTCACACATACACTCTGACACGAACTGAGTTCCCATGTCATGTAAAATCTCCTCTAGTATACCTAGGCGACTGTACAGTGCTTCAGCTATATCATCTGTACTGATATGTTTCAGGGGTATTGCCTCTGGATACCTAGTAGCATAGTCTACTAATGTCAAGATGTACTTATGACCTTTTTCACTAGGAGGGTGAATAGGACCAACTAAATCAATAGCAACCCTTTTGAACGGCACATCTATCAGTGGCATCTTCTGAAGGGGGACTTTTGCAATTTTACCTTTAGGTACCGTTCTCTGGCAAATATCACAAGATCTACAGAATCTTGTTATGTCACCATGTATTCCTGGCCAGTAGAAATTGCTCAGGACTCTATCACTAGTTTTCTTTACGCCCATATGCCCTCCCGTTATCGAATCATGCGCCACTATCATGACCTGGTTACGCAATGGCATAGGTACAACCATCTGCTTAACAGACCTACCCTGATTCACATGAGGATGAGTAAACTGTCTGTATAGTATACCGCCTTTCTCCAGAAACATAACTTCCTGGTTACCTTTAAACTTAGGTTCCTTCAAGGACCAATATTTACTGAGAGATGGATCGTCATGCTGCAATTTTACTAGCTGAGCCTTATTTACATCTAATGACTTACCCCCATCTGGTACACACAGAGGGACTATTTTGTTACCTTTCTTAGCCATAGCACGAGTAACCACTGCACACATTTCTTGCCATTGTGGGTCAGGATCATCTGGTGCCCTGGCTCCTTCAACATTACCAATGACTAGATCATAAATAACATCAGGCAAACACTGTGCCTCCACCTCACCAGTGAAATACGGGGTGTCTACATAAAGCTTAGCTATAGGTACAGTACGTGCAGTATTATCTATCATGAGCATACAACAAAACTTTCCAGTGTACTGGTTGTCACTAACAAAGTCTCTTTTTACTACCACACCACAGCCAGTGTCCATCAATGTGGTAACCACTTTTTCTCCAATCCTTCCTTTTACCACAGGCATTTTGGTTTTAGATTTAACAGATTGTTGGAAACAGGCATTATGGACTAGTGGTATTCTCTTTCCGCCAGCCAACAAAAGCTTGCCACCATCAATACAAGATTCAATATCAGCCTTGGTTGTGAACTTGGGTTGCACTAAACATACTGCACTAATTTCACTTTCCTGTTCTGCATCACCACCTAAATCAACCACAGCAGCACCGACATTTTTCACATTAGGCCTATCACCAAACCTTGTTGAAAATCGACATGTAACAGATCTGTGTTTCAAACGGCCACAATTATAACGTCTGACCCCATAACCCTGTGAAGGCCTCACTTTGCACTCTCGAGACATATGACCATACTCTTTGCATTTATAACACTAAACATCAGAATTGATTTCCTGACCACCCGGCATCTGAGATTTTATACATGGGAAGTCGCAAGGGGAGGTCAACTTCCTGTCATGAGCAATTAAGTAACGGTCAGCATACTTAGCCAACTCATCAAGAGTTCTAGACTGCTTCTCGCGCATGCGTATGGATACATCCCTGGGACAAGAATCAATAAACCGTTGCTTAATTATCAAGTCACATACATCATTAAATGACCCATCAGTACCAGACAACTCAATTCACTTAAGAAAGTAATTTTTTAGCCTGACTATACACTGATCACAACTATCACCATTCTCGGGCTTGAAATTCATAAACCTCAATCTATAGCCCTCCTCCGTTAATTCATATCTTTTTAGCAAAGCTTCTTTAACCAACCCATAATCGGATGCTGCCATATCTGAAAGCCTAGAATATACATCTAAAGCCTTACCAGTTCACAACGCACTTAATGACAAAGCGCATTTGGATTTATCCCACTCATTGCTTGCAGCAAAACGCTCAAA